CCTGGGATTGGAATTCCAAGACGCTGGGAATGAATTCAGGGAGCACAAACCCAAAGGCACTGCAAGCCCTGAGGAAATGAAAGCCGCAGCTCGGGGGAGGTGACCAAGTTTCTCTTGGCTCTTTGTGCCTCTGGAATTGTCCCAATTGTCTCAATCCCTGCAGATCCCGCAGGGCTGTTGGGAGATCCTGGGCTCTCAGGAAGGACAAGGTCTGCAATTCCTGCCTTTTAACCCCGTTCTGAGCCGTTCTCCAGCCCCCACCTGCTCCAAGCTGAGCGGTTTTGGCTCTGGGAAAGCCCTTGGAGACCCCGAGGTGCTGCAGGGAATGGGCACACGGATTTAGGGCCGGGTCCGGAGCTCAAAGAGCAGCAGGAATTGTAGAGGTGAAACAGTGCAACAAACCCTCCAAAACCCTCCAAAGCAAACCCTCTAAAACAAACCATCTAAAACAAACCCCCCAAAACAAATCATCCAAAAAAAACCCCACAACAAACCCTCCTAAGCAAACTCCCTAAAACAAAACCTCAAAAACAAAGCCCCCAAAAACAAACCCCCAAAACAGACTTTGAAAAACAAACTCTCCAAAGCAAACCCTCCAAAACAAATCTCCAAAACAAATCATCCAAAAAAACCCCGCAACAAACCCCTCCAAACCAACTCCCTAAAACAACCCTCAAAAACAAAGCCCCCAAAAACAAACCCCCAAAACAAATCCCCAAAACAAACCCTGCAACAAACCCTCCAAAAACCCACAGAGATACTTGAAAAGGCAGAAGAGATGTGGCAGAGGAGGCTGGTGGTGAAAAGCAGAAGAAATACAGAAAAAAAATCTGATTTCTTTTCTGTTTGAGGGGCTCTCCCAGCATCAGCCAAAGTGGCCCCATTTTGGTCCTCTGATACTCAGCTTAATTCCCCAGTCTCCCCCCTCAGCACCCAGTGCAGCACACACAGCTCCTGAAGGGCTGGCAGATCCTGACTGAGACAGAACTGGACTTAAAACCGAGTTTAAGGCCAGGCTGGATGGGGTTTGGAGCACCCTGGCCTATTATTATTATCATTATTATTATTATTATTATTATCACTGTATTTAGTTCATTCTCAATTACTGAACTCTTCTATCTCAACACACAAAGTTTTACTTTGCTTCTCTTTCCATTCCAGGGCTGGAAGTGAGAAACAAGGCCTGGACAAGGAGCTGGGTCAGGCTTAATTTCCAGCTGGGCTTAACCCCTCACCAGCCCAGCCCAGCCCAGCCAGGCTGGTGTTTTCGGGTGAAGTGTCACAGAATCCATCGGGGTTTTTGTGACATTTCACCCGGGATGAAGTCATGGGAGCCAAAATTCCCAGCTGAGCTCTGGGATGGAGGCGGAGCAGCCTGGGAAAGCCGGGAGGATCCAGCGGCTGAGCCGGGCTTTGTGCGGCTGAAAAACCGGGACTAAACAAATCCCGTGTGAGGGTTGGGCAGAGCTCACGCAGGATCGGCCCCGGAGAGGGAGCACGGCCGGGGATGGACCCACGGTGGGCACCCCAAATCCCTGTTTGGGAATGGGAATGGGAATGGGAATGGGAATGTCACAGTGACCATCCCAAATTCCTGTTTGGAAATGGGAATGGGAATGGGAATGCCAGAGTGACCATTCCAAATCCCTGTTTGGGAATGGGAATGGGAATGGGAATGGGAATGTCACAGTGGCCATCCCAAATCCCCATTTTCTGTTTGGAAATGGGAATGGGAATGCCACAGTGACCATCCCAAATCCCTGTTTGGAAATGGGAATGGGAATGGGAATGTCACAGTGGCCATCCCAAATTCCTGTTTGGGAATGGGAATGTCACAGTGGCCACCCCAAATCCCCATTTTCTGTTTGGGAATGGGAATGGGAATGCCACAGTGACCATCCCAAATCCCTGTTTGGGAATGGGAATGGGGATGGGAATGGGAATAGGAATGGGAATGGGAATGGGAATGGGAATGGGAATGGGAACGGGAATAGGAATGGGAATGGGAATGCTACAGTGACCATCCCAAATCCCCATTTGGGAATGGGAATGTCACAGTGGCCACCCCAAATCCTCATTTGGGAATGGGAATGTCACAGTGGCCACCCCAAATCCTCATTTTCTGTTTGGGAATGGGAATGCCACAGTGACCATTCCAAAATCCTGTTTGAGGGTGGGAACACCACGGTGGCCACTCCAAATCCCCCTTTTCTCTTTTGGGAACAGGAACGCCACAGTGGCTACACAAAACGTCCTCATTTCCTGTTTGGGAATGGGAATGTCACAGTGGCCACCCCAAATCCCCATTTTGTCTTTGGGAATGGGAATGTCACAGTGGCCACCCCAAATCCCCATTTTCTGTTGGATTGGGAACATCGTGGTGGCCACTCCAATCCTCATTTTCTGTTTGGGAACAGGAATGCCCAAATCCCCATTTTCTCTTTTGGAATGGAAACACTGCAGTGGCCATCCCAAATCCCCATTTTCTCTTTGGGAACGAGAACACCCAAATCCCCATTTTCTCTTTGGGAACAGGAACACCCAAATCCCCATTTTCTCTTTGGGAACGGGAACACCACGGTGGCCATCCCAAATCCCCATTTTCTCTTTGGGAACGGGAACACCACGGTGGCCATCCCAAATCCCCATTTTCTCTTTGGGAACAGGAACACCGTGCTTCTCCTCCCAGACTCCAGCTGCCAGCACAGCCCGTGGATTCCAGCCAGGACACCCAATCCTGGGGTAACTGGATAGGGAGCAAAAGCTGGGAGCTCCTGGGCCCCTCTCCTTGTCTGAAGTGCCAAGAAATCTCCTCCTCCTGCTGCTGCTGCTGCCATGGGGGAAATGAGAAACCTGGCCAGAGACAAATCACCATCACCCTCAGCTCCCAGTGTGGGTTTTCCAACCCTCTGAACTCCCTCTTCATCCTCTTCTGAGCCCCCTCTTTCCCACCCCTGAACCCCCTCTTTCCCCCATCCTGAGCCCCCTCTTTTCCTCCTCCTGAACTCCCTCTTTCCAAACTCCTGGACCCCCTCTTTTTCCCCCTGAGTTCCCTCTTTCCCCCATCCTGAATCCCCTCTTTTCCCTCTCCTGAACCCCTTCTTTTTCCCCTCCTGAGCCCCCTCTTTCCAACCTCCTGAATCCCCTCTTTCCTCCTCCCGGGCTCCTTTTTTCCTCCCTCCTGAACCCCCTCTTTCTTTCCCCCCTCCAGAACCGCCTCTCTTCCATCTCCTGAGCTCCCTCTTTCCCCTTTCTGAACTCCCAAATTCTTTCCCCCCTCCTGAACCTCTTCTTTTCCATCTCCTGAGCTCCCTCTTTCTCACCTCCTGAATCCCCTCTTTCCCCTCTCCTGAACCCCCTCTTTTTCCTCTCCTGAGTTCCGTCTTTCCTTCCCCTCTCCTGAACCCCCTCTTTCTTTCCCCCGTCCTGAACCCCCTCTTTCCCTCTGGCTGATCCTTCCCCCTGCAGAGAGGACCCTCGGGCAGCTGGGAGGGTGGAATTTTCCTGGGATTTCCCTGGAATGCCCCGGCATAGCCGGATTGTGCTCAGCTCAACTCATAAATCCCACAGAGCACCCCATAAAGAGACCCCCCCCCCCAAAACTTCCCTAATAAAGGACAAATCCAGGAGTTCTTCATCCTGCTGGGAGCATTTCTCATCTCCTTCCACTAGGAACAGCAGAGGGCTTGGAAAGGCAGGAATTTTTTGATCAGGGAATGTAAAGCAGTCGGGAAATAACCTGGGTTAGGCTCTCAGCACACAAAGGGAACAGACGAATTTCCACACCGATATCTTGGCCCTCACATGATTAAAAGCTCTGGGAAAATGGGAATCTCCTCTTCCTGGGGGTGCAAAGCTCTCTTTTCTTCAGGCCTGCCAGATAAAGGATCCTCTCTTTCCCGTACAAAGGGCTTATGGGCTCAGGGATATCTGTCCCCAGCCTGAGCCTGGGGGCAGGGGAATTTGGGATTGGGATAAGCAGAGGAAAAGCCACGGTCTGGTCCTTTCAACGAGCCCCTGATTCTGCAGGACTGGGCAGGAGAGGATGAAGGGAAATGGAAATTGCAGGATGGCCTTCTCTGCGCCTGGGGCTCATCCCAGGCATCTCATCCCCGCCTTATTCCGTGGGGATAAATTGCACTTGGGATCATCTGAGTTAATCCTGGGCCCTGGCCCAGCTAACCCAGGCCTGCCTTTCAATCCCAGCCTGTATCCTCTGAGCCTGAGCACAGTGCTCTCAGAAATCCCTTGTCAGAGGGATATCAGCCTATTCCCCCACAAATGTCCCTGTTTGGAGCAATATCCAGCCCTGTGCCAGTCACAGTTCAGTATTTTCCCATCCAGCCCTGTCCCAGTCAATATTTTCATATTTTCCCATTCTGCCTTGTGCCAGTCACATTTCAATATTTTCCCATCCAGCCCCGTGCCATTCAATACCTCAATATTTTCCCATCTAGCCCCATGCCAGTCAATATTTTCATATTTTCCCATCCAGCCCCATACCAGTCACATTTCAATATTTTCCCATCCAATCCTGTGCCAGTCACATTTCAATATTTTCCCATTCTGCCCTGTGCCAATCACGGTTTTCCCACTCAAAGCCAAAAGTGGGGGGTTTGAACCATTCCAGAGAAGTGCAGAGTTTCCCTCTTTCACTGACACTCCATGTTTGTTTTCACACCCAGGCTGCTGCACCTTTACCTCCACAGCCCCTGGTGTCCCTGTTTGTTGGACTCCAAACCTCTGCAGCTTTTCCATTCCAGGTGCCCACCTCGTTTCTCCTCCTCATCCCAAATTATTTTGGTTTCCCATCCTAAATAAACTGATCCCTCTGAAACAACTGCTGCTCTCCACACAACTCCACATCCCACGAGCGACCAAGAGTGGAAAAAATGGGATTTGGTGTCCCTCAGGATAAGGACAAGTCCTGGCTGCTCGTTTTCAGTTCCACTTGATAACAAAGGTGAGCTTGGAGACTCCTTCCCCCCTCCACAGCTCGCCTATGCCTCGTGCAGGATTGTCTGCATGAATTTCCCCAAATCAAACCCCAAATCTCCATCTCTGAGCTCAGCTCCGTTTCCAGCCAGACCTGGAGGAGCTCCAGGTTGTGCCTAAATCAGCCAGCCAGGATGAGCTGTGGAGTCCACCCTCAGGTGTGCTGTCCTTGGGGTCACCCCCAGCACCACAGGGCCCCCTCTGCTCTGGGGTGGTTTTGGGGGCGCTCCAGGTGTTGGGGATCTGTCACAGACATCTTTTTATGAAAAATCCTTTTCTTAGGATTTTTCCTCCTGAGAAGCTGAGAAGCCTCAGGAACAAAATGTAACCAATGGTTATCTGCTGCTGTGGAATGCAACAGGTGCATCTGGGATTGGTCTCATGTGGTTGTTTCTAATTAATGGCCAATCACAGCCAGCTGGCTCGGAGAGAGAGTCCAAGATAGAGCTTTTGTTATCATTCTTTCTGATTCTATTCTTAGCTTAGCCAGCCTTCTGATGAAATCCTTTCTTCTATTATTTTAGTATAGTTTTAATGTAATATATATCATAAAATAATAAATCAAGCCTTTTGAAACATGGAGTCAGATCCTGGTCTCTTCCTTCCGCATGAGACCCCTGCGAACACCATCACAGGGATCCCCTCACCCCAACCTGGCTGTGGCAACAACCAGCGCTGGGCTCACGACAGAGCTGCTGCTCATTAACAAACCAACTAATTGCTCTCCCCGCAGGAATTCCTGACCACGACAACAACAACCACCACCACAACAACAGCCACACCAACACCGACCCAACCCCAACAACCGCGGTGCCGGCTCGGAGCTGCCCGCGCTCGCGGAACGCGGAGAAGGCTGGAAAGGGGCACCTACCTGCGGGGAGAGGCCGTTGCTGACGGGGTTCATGTGGTTGGCGGGGGCTGCGGCGTTCATGAAGCTCTCGGAGTAGCTGGAGAAGCTGTGCCGGGCGCCGTAGGCAGAGCCGGAGTCGGCGGCAGCGGCGGCCAGGCCGCCCTGGTGCATGGTGGAGGGCGGCAGCGGCTGCGGCCGGTGCACGGTGCTGCCGCCGTCTGCGGGGACACAGGGACACCAACGGGCTGGGATCCCCCCGGGAGATTCCTGGGAAACCCTTGAGAAACCCCCAGGAGACCCCTGGGACACCCCCGGGAAAGCCCCGAAAAACCCCCAGGAAACCGCTGGGAGACCCCCAGGAGACCCCCAGGAGATGCCCCAGGAAACCCTTGGGAGACCCCTGGGAAATCCCTGGGAGACTCCTGAGATACCCCCGGGAAACCCTTGAGAAACCCCCAGGAGACCCCTGGGAAATCCCCGGGAGACTCCTGAGATACCCCCAGGAAACCCCAAGAGAGCCCCAGGAAACCCAGGAATGGCAGCTTGGCCATCCTGGGAGCCAGCAGCTCCACACTTGGTGAAGTTTCTGTTTTGATTCTGTTTTCCTCCCCCAAAAAAGCCCAGGAATCCCTTGGGAAAGGCCAAAGGCACCTGGAATTAACAATGTTCCTTCCACTGGAATATTCCCACTGTTGAACAAGGGAATAGAGATTTACCCACAATGAGGTAAATGCCATACAATTTGAGTAAATAATAAATAATAAATTGGATAAATGCCCAATTTACAAGGTAACTCATTAATTAACAAAATTCCTTCCGCTGGAATATTCCTGCTGCTGAACCCCATAACAGAGATTTACCCAGAATGAGGTAAATCCCACATAATTTAAGTAAATAGTAAATTGGGTAAATTGGGTAAATTTGGGTTTGTTTGGGTAAATGGGTGATGCCCAATTGGGTAAATTGGGTAAATGCCCAATTTACAAGGTAACTAATTAACAATATTCCTTCCACTGGAATATTCCTGCTGTTGAACCCCAGAATGGAGATTTACACAGAATGAGGTAAATTCCACACCATTGGGTAAATCCCCAGTTTACAAGGCAGCTGGAATGAACAATGTTCCTGCCACTGGAATATTCCCACTGCTGAACCCTGGAATGGAGATTTGCCCACAGTGAGCAATCACCCACACAACCCCAATTTACTGGGATGTGCTCCATGGCCAGAACTCCAGCAATGGCACAGGGGGACACAGCAGGAGGGATGTGGGATAGAGGAGAAAACGGAAGAATTTCCATGGACTTGAGGAAAAACCCCAATTCTCCCAACTAAACCAAACCCACAGGAGGCTCCCAGCTGTCCCAGGATGCCCCAGCCCAGAACGGCCCAAGGAGAGAATCGGGGGTGGTTTGGAAGGGACCCCAAAGCCCTCAGCAGAGGGGAGGTGGGAAGGGGAACAGGGGGCTCACCTTGGGAGATGGTGGTGCTGGGGTAGGAGGAGTCGGGCAGCTGGTACGGGGGCAGCGCCGGCATCCCCGTGGGCGGGAAGCCCCCCGGCAGCAGGTGGTTGAAGGCTGCCAGCTGATTGGCTCCTGCCTGCTTGCGCCAGCGCGCCCGCCGGTTGCTGAACCACACCTGGGGGGACAGAGAACACCCTTGGGTGACACCTGAGCAATGTGTGTCACACCTGGGGGACAGAGAACATCCCACAGGGGACACCTGAGTAATGTGTGTCACACCTGAGTAATGCATGTCACACCTGGGGGACAGAGAACACCCTTGGGTGACACCTGAGCAATGTGTGTCACACCTGGGGGGACAGAGAACACCCTTGGGTGACACCTGAGCAGTGTGTGTCACACCTGGGGGGACAGAGAACAGCCCACAGGTGACACATGAGTAATGTATGTCACACCTGAGCAATGTGTGTCACACGTGGGGGACAGAGAACACCCCATAGGTGACACCTGAGCAATGTATGTCACACCTGAGCAATGTGTGTCATACCTGGGGGACAGAGAACATCCCACAGGTGACACCTGAGCAATGTATGTCACACCTGGGGGGACAGAGAACATCCCACAGGTGACACCTGAGCAATGCATGTCACACCTGGGGGGACAGAGAACATCCCACAGGGGACACCTGAGTAATGTGTGTCACACCTGGGGGACAGAGAACACCCCCTGGGTGACACCTGAGCAGTACCTGTCACACCTGAGCAATGTATGTCACACCTGGGGGACAGAGAACACCCCGTGGGTGACACCTGAGCAGTACCTGTCACACCTGAGCAATGTGTGACACACCTGGGGGGACAGAGAACACCCCCTGGGTGACACCTGAGCAATGTATGTCACACCTGAGCAATGTGTGTCATACCTGGGGGACAGAGAACTTCCCACAGGTGACACCTGAGCAATGCGTGTCACACCTGGGGGACAGAGAACACCCCGTGGGTGACACCTGAGCAATGCATGTCACACCTGAGCAATGTGTGTCACACCTGGGGGACAGAGAACACTGAGAACACTCCATGGGTGACACCTGAACAGTGTCTGTCACACCTGGGGGACAGGAAACATCCCACAGGTGATATTTGAGCAATGCCTGGCACATCTGGGGGACAGAGAACATCCTGTGGGTGACACCCGAGCAATGCATGTCACACCTGAGCAATGCATGTTACACATGGGGGGACAGAGAACATCCCACAGGTGACACCTGAGCAATGCCTGGCACACCTGGGGGTACAGGAAAATCCACACCTGGGGGACAGAGAACATCCTATGGGTGACACCCGAGCAATGTGTGTCACACCTGAGCAATGTATGTCACACCTGAGCAATGTATGTCACACCTGGGGGACAGAGAACATCCCACAGGTGACACCTGAGTAATGTGTGTCACACCTGAGCAATGCATGTTACACATGGGGGACAGAGAACACCCCCTGGGTGACACCTGAGCAGTACCTGTCACACCTGAGCAATGTGTGACACACCTGAGGGACAGAGAACACCCCCTGGGTGACATCTGAGCTCTGCCTGTCACACCTGGGGGGACAGGAAAGGCCCCATGGGTCACACCTGAGCTCTGCCTGTCACACCTGGGGGACAGAGAATGTCCCGTGGGTGACACCTGAGCAGTGCCTGTCACACCTGGGGGGACAGAGAACACCCTGTGGGTGACACCTGAGCTCTGCCTGTCACACCTGGGGGACAGGAAAGGCCCCATGGGTGACACCTGAGCAGTGCCTGTGACACCTGGGGGACAGAGAACACCCCCTGGGTGACACCTGAGCAGTGCATGTTACACCTGGGGGATATGAAACACCTGCGGGTGACACCTGAGCTCTGCCTGTCACACCTGGGGGACAGAGAACATCCCATGGGTCACACCTGAGCTCTGCCTGTCACACCTGGGGGACAGAGAACGTCCCCATGGGTGACACCTGAGCTCTGCCTGTCACACCTGGGGGACAGAGAACGTCCCCATGGGTGACACCTGAGCTCTGCCTGTCACACCTGGGGGACAGAGAACATCCCATGGGTCACACCTGAGCTCTGCCTGTCACACCTGGGGGACAGAGAACGTCCCCATGGGTGACACCTGAGCTCTGCCTGTCACACTTCCTGGCAGCACCCTCTGGCCAAAGCCCAGCCCAGGCTCGAGCTGCTCCTGGACCATGGCAGGTCCTTCACCCACCCCCCTCCTCACTTCCCTCTCCCTGCTGACCCCAAACCCCCATCCCCGGCCCCCCCAGGATTTTGGGTGGATGCTGCTCCCAGCAGCCTGTGGGGGTGGACAGGGATTCACAGAATCCCCAGATTGGAAGAGACCTTCAAGATCATGGACTCCAACCCAGCCCCAACAGCTCAACTCAACCCTGGCACCCAGTGCCACATCCAGGCTTTGTTAAACACACCCAGGGATGGGGACTCCACCACCTCCCTGGGCAGAACATTCCAGAACTTTATCACCCTTTCTGTGAAAAACTTTTCTTGATATCCAACCTATATTTCCCTGAGGCTGTGTCCTGTGGTTCTGTCAGCTCCTGGAGAAAGAGGCCAACCCCACCTGACCACAGCCACCTCTCAGAAACTTCTAGAGAGTGAGAAGGTCACCCCTGAGTCTCCTTTTCTCCACCCCCAGCTCCCTCAGTCGCTCCTCTCAGGGTTTGTGTTCCCAGCCCCTCTCCAGCCCCGTTGCCTCCTCTGGACACACTCCAGTGTCTCAAGGTCCTTTCCACAGCGAGGTCCCACACCCACCATGGGGTTTGTGTGCTCCCCAAAAGTCCATCCCAGGGAGATGCCCCGCTGCCACCTGGCCGTCCCTGCTCTCTGCGAGGCTGGGAATTCTGCCGGAGGATTAAGCGCCATAATAGCGGCACTGTTAGGAGGGATCAATGGCCAGATTAGCATCGTGCTCGCGGTGTTAGACAAGCTCGAGAGATAAACCCGCCCCGCAGGGAGTTCGGGGCTCGGCTCCTCCCAGAGCCCTGCTGAGCCCTGCCCTGCCTGCAATGATAGCTCAGGTTTAGATTTTCTATTTTTCAGGTTCTGCTCTGCTTTAGTGGGTGGGTCTGGGCTTTATTTTAGGGATGGGAAGTAAGGACAGCGGGCAAACAAACCCCCGGAGCAGCCAGGATTAGCACGGCTCCGAGCAGTGTCCTTGCAAAGCTGAGTCACAGCACAGCTCTGCTCCCTCGGAGGCTGGGACAGCAGCCACCGGCTCCCAGGAAAGAGATGGACACGGACACACCTCGGGATAACAGCCCTGAAAAGCTTCCCCAGCTCCTCCAGCCTCAGCGTCCATGGAATTGCACCAAGCTCTGTGCTGGCACCAGCCCCAAAACACTTTGCCACCCATGCCTCAGGTTTAGATTTTCTGGTTTTCAGATTCTGTGCTGATATCTCAGGTTTAGCTTTTCTATTTTTCACATTCTGTGCTGATATCTCAGGTTTAGCTTTTCTATGTTTCACATTCTGGGCTGATATCTCAGGTTTAGCTTTTCTATGTTTCACATTCTGGGCTGCTTTAGTGTGTGGGTCTGGGCTCACATCAGGGCATGGTGAGCTCTGCACAGAGCAGGGACACAAAACAATTCCTGCTCCAGCTGGGACCAAGGACAAATGATCCAAATCTCAGCCCAGGAGCACAAACCCCGTGGGCTGGAGAGAGAAAAACAAGGATGGGACTGCATGGGCTAAAGCTGGAATTGGACAATGAACTGCAAGATGCAAATGGAGCAGAATTTATAAAAGTGAGAGACCCCATGACTGGTCGTGCATTTTGTGACCATTTTGGGTTCATTTTGTGCCATTTTGGCTCATCTTGGGTTCATTTTGGGACCATTTTGGGTTCATTTTGTGCCATTTTGGGTTCATTTTGGGCTCATTTTGGGTTCATTTTTATGACCATTTTCGTTCATCTTGGGTTCACTTTGTGCCATTTTGGTTCATCTTGGATTCGTTTTGTGACCATTTTGAGTCATCTTGGGTTTGTTTTGTGACCATTTTGGGTTCATTTTGTGCCATTTTGGGTTCATTTTGGGCTCATTTTGGGTTCATTTTGTGACCATTTTGGTTCATCTTGGGTTCATTTTGTGACCATTTTGGGTTCATTTTGTGCCATTTTGGGTTCATTTTGGGCTCATTTTGGGTTCATTTTGTGACCATTTTGGTTCATCTTGGGTTCATTTTGTGACCATTTTGGTTTCATTTTGTGACCATTTATGTTTGTCTTGGGTTCATTTTGTGACCATTTAGGTTTGTCTTGGGTTCATTCTGTGACCATTTTGGTTCATCTTGGGTTCATTTTGTGATCATTTTGGGTTCGTTTTGTGACCATTTTGGTTTCATTTTGTGAGCATTTATGTTTGTCTTGGGTTCATTTTGTGACCATTTTGGTTCATTTTGGGTGCAGCCCTGGCTGGGCTCTTGTGCTGCCCAAGGTGGATCCCTTTCAATAAATCCCTATTTTATTCTTTAACTCTGTCCAGTTTCTGTTCTAGCTCAGCCTTCCCAAGGCATCAGCAAGAGCTCTGCAGCCAGCCCAGAACGGTGCTGCAGCCTCTGCATTAAAATAAACCCAGCCTAAACACCGGGGCAAAGCTGAGCTCAGCTCTGCTGCTTCACCTGCGAGGCTCCAGAGGAGCTTTTGTAATTCTGCTGCTGAACCCCAGAACGGAGATTTACCCAGAATTTGGGGTCACCCACACAGCTCCCGATTTATGGGATGTGCTCTTAGGGGTTTGGCATTCCTGGTGGGTTTTACTGGGGGAAATCTGCATTTCTGCAGGGTAAAAAAAGGGTTTCCTAAATGTTTTATAGGGAGCAATCCCATTTCTGCCAGGTAAAAAGGGCTGCCCAAGTGTTTTACTGGGACAAATCTCCTTCTGCGGGGTAAAAAGGGTTTCCCAAATGTTTTATCAGGGGAAATCCCTATTCTGCAGAGCAAAAAGGGGTTCCCAAGGGTTTCATTGGGGAAATCTCCTTTCTATAGGGTAAAACGAGATTCACAAGTGTTTTACCAAGGGAAATCCCTTTTCTACAGGGTAAAAAGGGCTGCCCAAGTATTTTATCAGGGGAAATCTCCTTCTGCAGGGTAAAAAGGGTTTCCCAAGTGTTTCA